AGCAGCTAAAGCCTATGGGAAGGTGTCAGCCAACTTGTAGAGAAGTTCTTACCAGTAAGTGATTTTGCTGCGGGATATTTGATGGGATGCGTGAAGGATTGCTCAGCCAAGAGAGGTCCTGGGAGCACCAGCACCTGCTGCCTTTAAATCTAGGCTGATAAAGCAAGAAGCAAGTGAATTATATAGGTATTGTATACGAAAAGTGGGGTCTACTGAGATTGCAGACACATTTTAGCCTCTCTTATTTTTACATACTTAAAGCTCTGTTGATTTTCATTCTGATTTACTCCACAGAAACTATTAAAAATGCAAGGGATGTTTTCATCGGCACCTTTTAGCATAAATACCCTAGAAACATAACTCAGATAATAAGCGTACAGTTCCTTCCCGGAGTCCCATTGCTTTTGTTCCACATACAATCCAGTGTGGGAGTCTTGAAGCTGAAAATCTTGGAAAGCTAAAGGTTAAACCAGGCAGCAAGTTCAGCACTGAGAGCTGCAGGGAGCCACAGCGGCACCCCGAAGGGATGGACCGGGGAGGATAAAGCAGAGACTCATCTGTGGCCTTTCAAACCAGAATAACTTGGGTTATTCCTCTGCCGCTGCAATGCCCCTCCAAAACAGAGACCAACTGTTCCTGGAGGCAAAGCCAACTTCACCTCTCGCCGGCTGACAAATGGTCACGTAAGTCACCAAATAACCCAGGACCTCAGTGCTGAACTTCTCCAATTGTTTTCACATGATGCAACTCTAAATCTCCCTTTTGAGTGGTATTAAATTTCCTTTCATTCCCATAAACTTCAGAAAAAGTTGCCTGCTCTCACATTTCAGACTGTGACCCAGCTAACTTGCACTTTTCCCCTCTGCTCGTCTGGAGAGTGGAATAATGAAATTCAGACAACAGTGACCAAATGCTGCCGTGCAGAACTTGCCTTTTACAGAACAGGCGAATACTCCTGGGCTCCGAGACACTGCAGGGAACAAAACTTGCAAACCTTATGGAAATAAAAGAGTAAGCCTAGGAGGTGACTTCATTGCCTTTATCAGATCAGAGCCGTTTTCACTGGAATTGAAATGGCTTCTAGAAAAATTATAAATAGAGGAGAAGAATTTAAAAAATCCCACTGAAGCCATTATTGGAAAAAAAAAAACACAACCACGTGAGTGGAAGCTAAATTTCATAGACCTACAGAGACGAAAAGCTTCATCCTCCTCCTAACCTGCAGGCCTGTTGTTGCAGAGGTTGTGCTTGTGTAAGAGCCAGGAAAGCGACCGTTCGCGCTCCTGCGCCGGTGACGGTGACCGGCCAGCGCACCGTGACCCGCGCGGACAAGGGGCTACGGAGGGAACTGCGGATCTGCCGGGCTGGCAAGGGCTGGAGTTTGTCCCTGGAGGTGCCAAGCGCTCCCAGCCCGCGCGGGGAGCCCCACGTGCTGAGTCGTCTCGGCGTCCTGCCAGAGGAGGCCCCTATTTGTGCACCAGAAATACCCACTGTGCTGCAGCCCTGCTGCCGGGGTGAGCGGACCTGCAGTCACTGAAGCCCACTGCAAATTTAGCCACTTGAATCAAAATAAAAGGAGCCAAAATATATAAACCCAGCAGACACACTTTATGGGGGAACTAAACCAAACATTCAACATCAAGATTAAGTGCAGCCAAATTGTTACAACTAAACAGGGTGCCTTACATCATGTTGTGTCCTAGGGGCACGGTCTCCATTTTAGCGGCAAGCTAAACTCACGCTGCTATCAATAAAAGTTTTACATGCGGAATGAGTAGAAAATACGAGATGTTAGATAGTACACTGCAAGTCTATAAACCTGATACCTAAAAGCTGCTGTTGTGGTTTCGCCAACCCCCCGCAAACCTCCAAGCAAATTCCACCGATGGATCTTTGGTTCGGTTCGTCTAATTGCAAGGCGTAAAGGTGAACTGAAATGTTGCTGGAATAAAAACCTGTTTAAAATGCCAAATCCCTCACAAATTCCCTGTGCAGACTTACAAGTAAATACATTGAAAAGGCAAGTGCACAGGCTGCCTTATTAACCTGTCAGGCCATGAATGCTGCAATCTATTTTT